AAAACAGGATTATCGAATATATAATTTCTGCTTTCTTAAGCATTTAAAAATAGCCAACATTATTGCGCCAATAATTTCTCAATTAAGAAGGAGAACGGGGAAGAAAGTGGAACAAAATAGGACGAATAAAAAAAGCATATGAAACAAATTTTGTTTTTAGTCAGTCAGCTGTACACAATCGATTGACTAATAGTTACAAAAAAATACAGGTTTCCAAACAACAAACGGTCAAAACTGTTGCGAAATCAGCAGTGACATGACCGAGGATCAAAACTTGTGATCAATCATTCAGTTAGTTCATCATCATGGACAGTAGCAGTAACAGAATGGTACCTTTAATTTTTTGGAATGAATGCCGGGAACAAATCCGGTATAACAGATTTTTGTTTGGAGTCCGGATGTTCAGAAAAAAGTGAGGAAAAGTGTTTAAATGAATGCAGATGTGAGGATGTCGAGTGTCTTCTGTGTTACCAAAACAAACACTCAGTAACCTGATATCTATTTCCAAAAATTTATATCAGTTGTCATTTTTTCCAATTCTTCTTCCCTATTTTTCTCCCTCCCCTCCCTCCCCCTTACCCTCTGTTTGCAAACACAATTAAAAAGCAAAAAGAATTTCATTTGTTTTTGCGCTGTCACTTTCTTCTTCCTCTCTGTTCCTCAGTTAATCCAAAGATACAAAAGATCATGTCCGTGGTTCATGGAGAGGACGAGTACCTCAACTCTTCAATTAACGTGCGCTAACTTTTCAAGCCATCTTGTACAACTAGATTACTGCTTAAAACATGAAAATCCCGCACTAATACTATCCAATTGATAAACCCAACATAATTAACATTCCTTGACGATGATTTTCAATACCAAATATTAAGAAATAAAAAAGACTGTCTAAAAAGAGTAATTTTGAATTTCTCATTTATTTTTTTCCTTCTATTTGCCCAATAATCCAATAACAGCATTACCATCATCACCATCAACAGTAAACATCAATACAGTTAAACAAATTAAATTCGAAATTAAAGATTTGTTAAGAAAAGTGGAAGAAATTAGAGAAACTGACAAAGCAAAAGAAAATGACGACGACAGCAACTAATCTACACAGAAAAATTTCGGAAAAAAAAAGTAGAGTAGAAAGAATTCTCGTTTTTGGTAGTCTTTTTGAAACCTTTCTTTCTTTTTGTTGACAAAAATTTTCCAGAAAGCAAAAATAAACTACGGAAAAAATTTGAAGTAATTTGTCTGAGAAAAGACTACAAATATTACGTTAAAAGAACGATGAGCAACGACAGAAAAGAATGAAGGCAAAAATTGAGGGCCAAGAAAAAGAAAGTAAAAAGCGGAAAAAAAATACAGTAATCGTCATATTTTCGAAAATTATTCACAACATTTTAAATTTTCGATTTAACGGCAAAAAAATTTTTTTAAATAACTTTAAACGAATTAGTCAAATGCTTCTTTTTTCACACCCCTTTCCCATACCCCCAACCTTATTCTCCTTTTTTAGCTTTCATAAAAAATACACTTAAAAAATGTATACAAAAATATTTTTAATTGCCATTTTTCCTTCTTTTTTTTTTTCATTTTTATAACACAAATAAAACAGCACAATTTTGATACATTCAAAAAAAAAGAAGGGAAAAAACAGCACCTTGCCTTCGCTTCCCTCTCTCCTCTCCACTACCTTCTTTTACCTTCAAACCAACCTTCTTTTTTTACTTAATGCCTAAGCAAATAAGTACAGCCAAAAAATAGAAAACAAAAAAAATTAAGCCAAGAAATTTGCTGGTTTTAAAATTTCTATCAAAAGAGAAAAAAAAAACAAATTTACTCAGCAAAAAAAGAAGTCATTGTGCTGCCATCAAAAAAAAACAGCAGATTTACTTTTCACGTCGATTTTACACCAGGCTGCGGGTGGGGAAAAGGCTAAGATGGAGGATTGGAGTCGACAAGTAACTACAACAGAATCAACGATAGAAAGTAAGTAAAGTAGAAATAAAAAGACCCAAAAAACAAAAGGCCAATTTCTGTCAACTTCTTTAAATCTTATGTCAATTTCTATCACCACAAAAAAAAAACAGCCAGAAAAAGAAAGAGGAAATAATACATTTTCAAGAATTTATTTATTTATTCATTTTTTCCACTTCTTCTTTTTTTGGTTCTTTTATTTTTTGTTTTTTTATTTTTTATTTTTTTTCTGTTCTATTGGTTTGTTTTGTTGTCTAATTTTGTTCAATTTCATAAATACGGAAACGGTGAAGAAAATAAAAACAAAAAACGAACGAGACTCGGGTAAATGTGTAAAGAACAAAAACCAAACACCTAAAAAAATTAAAGGTGCGAGAAAGAAAAGTTAATATTTAACAGATTTAAAAAGTAAAAAAAAATGAAAGGCATTGAAGCAATCGGTGAGAGAAATTTTAATTTTTCTTTTTTTTTTTATTTTGGTACTTTGAAATCCTAGAAAAAAGATAATAAAAACAAATAACGGAAACATTCGGGTAATATAATAATTTTTTTAACGTTATCAACAAAAAAAAAGCCCATCTTTTTTTGAGTCCCCAAAAAATTGCTTGTTGACAGCAGAAAAAGTGTTGAAATAAAGGAAAAATATGAGAGAAAAATTTTGGTTACCTCAGCACTGTCCAAATTCCCATTGGCTAAACAGCAAAAAATAATATAAAATAACACCAGCAACAACAACAAAAAACACACCCCATTGACAAAACAGTTTTATTCACCTCCTAAGCTTCTTTTTTTTTTCGTTTTTGAACGATAAAATATCAAAAAGAAACGAAAAAAAGAGCA